GGGAGTTTCTTCCCCTAACCACTATATTTGACCGCTTTATAACAGAGAACCCCCCAGCTTCAACATCTGCTACTTCAAGGCACTCTTCCACAAAGGACTTCCTCAGAACTTGGCAGGTTATCTTCACCAGGTAGTAATTTAACAAAACAATGGAAGTATGGAACAACATCAAGATTTTATGAATTCAGACAAAAATTGGAGTTAAAATGCTGTTCGATCCTACAGGTCATGCTGACATCTTCTCAACGTTGAAAGCTTCATTGTCCAAAATTATGAGGGAAAGACGACGCTTATACTTGATGTTCAAATGAAAACCACACATACGAATGTTCCTAATGACACGTAGATACGGCGCTTATTCCTTCTTTTTGATGATATCAGCTGTAACTAATATTCTGAACAGCAATCTAACACAAGTTTCAACTAACTCATCATCCACCATTTAGCACACTGGACCAAATACACTTCCTGCGGGCCAATCACACAAAAACCCGCAGCACACCCGGCCAAAGGCCGGGCACTAAGCTAGTATATGATGATTTTCTTTGTTTGAGATATCAAAACTGAACACAAATTATTATAGAATGTTTTGCACTTGCAAAAGATAACAGAATTTTTAACCCACATTGGCCACATAGCCTATCGTAAGAAAACGATATTTAATATCACACTCCTAATTAAGATTTTTTTTAATAAACAACCTAATAAGTAGAGCTACAAATACTGCACTTAGTGATGTTAATTCAAACCCGTTCTGATCTAGGTTGATCGATGGGGTAGATAAAATCTAATTCGTGCTAGAACGTGGCAGATCATTACCCGATCCGTATACAAAACACAGCGGAAGTGGATACTGTAGTCTGAAGATGATCATCCCGCACTCGGGAAATATTGTGAAGAAAATTTAGTTATTCCACCAAACACCCACCTACTTTTGCTGGCCATTGCAATAACACTTCATTTCTCTTCGTGGACATTATTTCTATCTTATAAACCGCAATTTGTTAGGTGCATGGTTTTAACTTTTTCTTAACACAAGACTAAAGCCTTCTGCGATAGAGATGAGTTACGATATAATTTGAAGTTCTATTTATGGGATGGTTGAAGACGGGGAGAGCGCGTTTTATCCGGCTCGTGCGCAGGAAAGCGTGGGGCAAAAATTTCTGTCCCGTCATAGGACGCATGAGGTAGAGCGGGTTAAGAATTGCAATATGGGGTATGGGTATGGCACAGGTTTAGCATTACTCGCTTCAAAGTTCAAACTCGACTCGTCGTCATTCTGTACTGCTAGTTAAGAGGACTTTGTCCTCTAAATCAAGATCTTTTCACTGCCCCTCTCATATTTCATTATTCACCCAGTTCCGGCTTGCCCTTCTTCTGGCTCGTGGTTGATGACCGTCTCATCTCCACCGCTCATCTTCCTAGCTACTGGCAACAACTTGCAGACATATTCACAAAAGCGTTGGGTGTTCGGCCAAACAAACTCCTATCTCTTGATTGATCAGACCAGACGCTTGCTTTTTCCTGTGTTGAGAGGAACAAAGCATTAATATCGACTTGAAGGGCTAACGAAGCTAAGGAAGTGGAAGTTCCAGCAGGTCATTTACTTCTAGCAGTTTATACTCCCCAAGCATACAAACTGCTTCGTTTACCTGTGCTTCCTACGCCTTGCCTGTCCCTAGGGGGCCTGTAGGCCGAGCTTTTTTCCTTAGTTATATGCGACTGTCGCATATCCATTGCTGGAGTTCTTGACCTGATGCGATGTCGGAGAACCCATCAAATTTGGCACACAAGAAATAGGACTTTGCGTTCAATGAGCTTTACTTCAGAGGAAAAAAATAAAGTTGGAACTGAACCCTTTCTAATGGGGCAAAATTTTCTGACCCATCACGAAGCACAAAGTAAGATGGGTTAATAATTTTATGATGATTGATGAGACAGGACACGAGTTTAGCAATCCGCATTCCAAAGTCGACCCGTTACTATTTAACTCTGCTAGTTAAGCAGATTTCCTTCCAATTTAACCCATCAAATTTGGCCGCACATAAAATAGGACTGTGCGGCCGACTTCCATGTTTGTTATCACTTCTTCTGTCCACCAACTTACAATTCCCCCGTAACGACAGATCCAGAATATAGTAGAGGCCTAACCCGCGTTTAAATAAAATATTAGATGCTGTAAACAAATCTCTTCTAGTCACATAGCTCTAGAGCGATGAAGCATTCTCTTCCAAAAGACTAGAAATACGATTAGCAATTGCTTTCGTGTATTTATTTAAATATATAATAACTATAGTTTTCGTTCATTATAATGGCAATTGTACTAGAAGGTCTTTGAATTTGGCAAATCCATAAATAATTGAATTTTCATCCATACAAGTAGCATACTCTCTCACAAAGAAAATAACTTAGCAATCAATGAGCAATTTATTGCTCATTTGGTTGCGCAAATTAGTTTTCACATGTTTCATTGCTGGAAATGTTCTATCCATGGTAGGCGTTGAAACAGGCAAGATCAACATTAGACAAATCAACCGACAAACCAATTTGTATTGTGTGTCCGTCACTGTTTCTGCCAGCTTCTCTAGTAATTTTGCAAAGGAAGAAACTTCATTATCCTAACCACGAACCGCATATCATAGCTCATTCTTCAAACAATACATCTCATAGCCTTCAAAGTCTCGAGGCTAAACTCTTGAGCAAGTTTGTAAATATTTTGTTCATCAAAAGACCGGAAAGAATGGTTAGAATCTAAATGATGACTCAACAAGTTTGCAAATATTTTTCTAATCAAAAGACTGGAAGGAAAATCAGCATCCGACGGACTTGCGGAGGAATCCATTTTGGGTCCGTTCGTCTCCTAATTCTTGTTTTTTATTTATGAGGATTGGGGAATTATTTTGAGTTTTGACAGGGAAGGGTGAAATTTAGTTTAGATATATTTTGTATTTCAAAGAAAGTATATGCTTAGTCTTTTACGTTTTACACTTTTAGGTTTTATTGTTTTTTTTTCAAATGAAAAACATTCGTGCTAGAATTTCTATGCAAAATTTTGAGTAGTAGTTTGGATGTTCATCTAGACCATTTTTCTAGTTATACAAAATATTATTATCAAATAATACTCGACCGACTTTTATATAGCACTGAGCCAAATAACTAAAATCGAGAAATTTATAAGTACTATACTAGTTATGGATTGGGAGAAAGGGTGGGCCGTACCCTAGATCCGCCGTTGTGCCCCCACTGAATTCATCTCATTGCCCCAAGCAGAATATAGGTAGAATTCTTTGTTAGGTGGATTCAACATTAAAATGTATGATAAAATAATTTTCTAGAACGACACACATAACTCACCCTATTTTTTATCACTCATATTATGAGAAATTTATAAACTGTAATTATCATTCAAATTATTCAGAACGTTACACATAATTCACCCTACAAAATCATCTCTTATGATTCTTATACTCATTCAATTTTTTTTAAAAATCATTATAGACCGCTTAGTAGGATAAAATTTATTCGATGAACAAAATTATAAATTTTAATTTATTATATGCCGTTTAATATTATTATATATCTCACAACAAAAATACAAGTATTAGTGGAAAAAAAATACTAAATAGTAACGTTTATACCTAAATTTTAATATATATTATACAATTGAACATATAATCTAATTTTATTCCAGAAAATTTGCTTGTGTTCGGTGAAAAACATATCAACATACACATTCAACTAATTAATAATAGGGCTAATACCACTAAGAAGGTTGAACTATTAACTTTGTGTCATTTGTGTTCTAAAGTATTCGATATGACATTTGTGTCCCAACCTATTATAGTTTTGTGTTATTTATGTCCTAACGATTGACCAGACGGTGGTCAACTTGATGTTGACTTTTGCCGACGTGGCAAACACATAGTAGCCACGTAGATGACATGTCATTAAAATCTAATATTTTTAATTAAAATTTAAATAAATACTAAAAATTAAAATGTTAAAAATTAAAAATTAAATCCTCTACTAATTTGCCCCTCTCTCTCTCTCAAAATGTTCCCCAAGCCGAAAAATCCTCAACTTCCTATCCATCTAAACTCCCTCTTCTTCTACTAGGCTTTGTCGGAGTTCAGGAGATTCCCGACTTCCCTGGGGGATCGAGACCCAGGCGTTGAGCAGAGGAAGCAAGGATCTACCTTGGCGATTCCCTCTCATCTCCTCTCCCCAGCCGCCGTCGCCAAACACCCCCTTCACCTTCGTCTCCTCCAATAGATCGACCCAATCAAAAGCTCCACCATCAACACCTCGGTAGAACCTAAAAGAAGGCAATCCAATCGGGCGACTCTGCTTCTTCCTTCAGTACTTTCGTCGCCATCAATCTTCCCACAACGTCGGCGGCAACAACGGTTGAAGATTGGATTGCTGGTAGATTGGATTATTGCCTATGGATTCATGTGACTTCTAAACATTGGACCAATATGTAAAGTTGACCAAATTTCAACTTTTCCATACGACACGTCGACACCCCTGCAGTTTGGAAGCCTTTCACATAATTCTCCGTTACAAGAGCAATTTTTGTTGATAGTGAGTGAGTGAGTGAGTGTGACTGAGAGCGCTTTGTCCACTAATCTCTCGCCGAAGAGCGTCCGATGACCCACGGCCGGGCAAATTGTCAAGTGCGAGCAAATCGACTGTGAAAAAGGAGGGAAGACTCGGATCAAGTCAGAGGAGAAGAGCCAGTCAGAAGAACGAACCACTCCGAATGTCTGTGCCCCGCCCACACCAACCGTCCGTCCGCCGGCGTTGGTGAAATTGTATCACGGAGAGAGACGGCCTTGTGTCCGTGGACCTAGCCCCAAACTTAATTGGGCTTCGGCTCTGCTGGCGGATAAATTATCCGGTCTAAATTTGGAAAAGATCAATTTTGTGTGTGTGGAGAATTAGGGGTTTTCGGTCGATCTCTTCTACCTAACCCTAGCTCCTTCCACCCGCCGACCGCCATGGCCACCGAAACCTGCACCGCGGTTTCAGAACTCAATCCTCCTTCTCCGATGATGATTAGCGAACTCGGAGACGATCTCCTCATAGAAGTTCTGATTCGCAGCTTCCCGGATCCCAGATCCGCGTGCCGGAGCAAAGCCGTCTGCAAGTACTGGAGATCCCTGATTTCTGATCCCTGCTTCAGACGCCGCTTCCTCTGCCACCACCAGAGCAAGAGCAAAGCACCTCCTCCGATGCTTCTTCTCTCACCCGCCAGCCTCCTGACCTTTCTCCCCATGCCCGCCATCCCTCCAGAGCATTTCGCAGTTTTGGATTGCTTCAAGGACTTGCTTCTATGTGGGTTCTGGGAAGTAGTTTACCGCCGCACTAATCCCCAGCTCGCCAGATCATACTTGCTCTGCAATCCGTTTACGGAGCAATGGATCGCCCTTCCTCTGGCCCCTGAAAGGCCAGTCGGGTTTAGTTTCTAATAGTCATGATGTTGGATTTGGCCATGAGTATCGATTCCGGGTTGTGTGCGTCTACCAAGTTGCCAATTCGATGAAATTAGATGTGTTCTGTTCGGATTCCGGCGAATGGACGAAGGATGCCCTTGTTCTTGATGGTTATCGCGGGTGCTGGAACTGGAGGAACAATGTTGTTACTTGCAAGTTGCAACGGTGTTTTGTATTTGTCTTACGCTAGAGCGCAAGACTTGGATGCTGGGTTGTATAGACCTTCGATTGCTGGTTTCGATCCTTTTCGACTTGATACACCTCCCACTCTTGTTGATGTTTCCCCTATCATCTACAAAATGCTTTGGAGTATTTCAGTTTCACAGGGTGCTTTGCATTTGAGTGTGTACGAGAAGCTAGAACCTATGGTGTTGGGTGTTTGGAGACTAGGAGAAGACTGTAAACTTTGGAGAAAGGTATGTGGAAGTACCCTTAAGTCGTCATCAGTGGATAACTATCAATTCTGGCGCCTTGGTGTTCCTTCTCTGCATCCAGACAAGCCTGAAATTGCCTTCTTCACTAATATTGATCGTGGTGCTGGTAGCCCTGGGCATTGTCACGTATTTTGCGATCTGGGGAATGGGGGAGAGCTAAAGGTCATCTCTAAACGAACTCAATATGTTGATCATTGGAGGGTGTTCCAGCCCAAGGTCTATTGTTGGCCTACTCAAATTCCAAGGTATCAAAAGTTGCGGGATTTGTACGATGGAAACTATAGCTGTTGGGTTCAGAAGCGCTCAATAATGGGTATCCGTATCTGCTACTTCTTGTTAAAATTTAGGGTTAATACCATTAGGAAACCCGAACTATTAACTTTGTGCCATTTGTGTCATAAAGTATTCGATATGACAATTGTGTCCCAACGTTTGGTAGTTTTGTGTCATTTACGTCCTAACAATTTTGTTGACCGTTATAGATAACGGTTGACCAAACGGTCAACCATAAAATGTTGACTGTTGGTTACATGGCACATATGTGGCAGCCATGTATGCGCCACGTCAGCTGCCACATCAGGTTGTTATTTTTAAATTAAAATTAACAATTAAAATACAAAATACAAATAAAACTTAAAATAGAAAATCTGTTGCGGCAGAGCTCGAGCTCCAATCGACGTGAATCCCTTCCTTCTCGTCGACTTCTTCTTCTTCTCCAGCAGAGCTCCAGCTCCAATCGACTTCTTCTTCTTCTCCGGCAGAGCTCCAGTCCCTCCATCGGTTTGGGCACAACCATTGAATACGACGACGTCGCAGAGGAAGAAGACCCGTCGTTGTTGTTGTTCGGAACTTCTTCATCGCCGCCGACGCCGTTCGGAGTCGAAGAACAAAATAGGTAAAATCAAACTTTCAATTCAAATCAATCGAGGCCAAAATTTCACAACTCAAATTCAATCCCTAGTCTGATTCAATGAACTCTCGCAGACGAAATCAACAATCTTCCGACCCTTCAATTTGATTTGAATCCCAGTGTCAATTCCGACTCTTCCACTACAATACAAACATGGGAGTGTAGATTTGGAGGCGGCGGGCGACTTCCCATCTATCACCGACCACAAGCGACTTCCGTCGCAATCCCCTGTTGCTCGGCGAGAGATCTGGAGCAGCGAGAGATCTGGAGAACGATGACAACAATCAATTGCCGACCACTGCAGATCTCCAGCCGCCGCGCCTTCCCGCTCATCTGCATCGCCGCTGCGCGTCACCATCTGCGTTTACTGAATAGAAAGCCCCGTTCCCACTCCTCAGCTGTCGGAAGAGTAAGAGACGAGTGGGTATTTGCCCTAAAATTGTGATGCCCAGAGGTAGGAGAAGGAGGGTGTTTGGTGGGGACGGCTTGGAGAGCATAGGGGGAGCAGATCCTTCTGCAAGTGGACTCAGGGCAAAGCAGTAGCAGTAGCCTGGAAATTTGTTTCATTGATCGGAAAAGTGTAGAAGGGCGAGACTGCGACGGCAGAGGAGAAGTGCAACGGAGGTTTAGGAGTGGAATCGACGGAGGTGATTTGGGGATTTTGTAATTTTTTATTTTATTTTAATATTTTAAGATAAAAAATAAAAAAATTAATATTAAAAATTCCACATTCGAAAATAATTATAAATTAATATTATCAATTCCACGTCAGATGCCACATAAGCGCTGACTAGACTTTCTGTTAAAAACTAACGGTCAACGCCAGTCAACTCTAACGGAAAAATAGTTTAGGACACAAATGTCGTATCAGATACTTTAGGACACAAATGACACAAAGTTAATAGTTCGGGTTTCCTAATGGTATTAGCCCTAAAATTTACCGTTCTTTGTTGTGAATTTGTCTCGTAAACACATTTGTTCTGAAAAGTCGTGTTGTTATGAGCCAAGATAGAAAAATCTAGAGGCATATACGACCATTTTTATCTATGCTAGTTTTGTGTAGCCTATGGATGAACATATGTTCCTTTATAAACTAGTCACGGGACCGGCCGGTTGGCCAGATTTATTTGCCAATCGCGTAAATAACAGTCGCAATTTTTATGTGAGTTTTGCGTTTATTTGGTAGTATGTTTAGAAGGAAAGTTGTGGAAAAACCATTATATACTCCTCATGGTCAGATATTACTGGACGTTTTATTTTTTGTGTTTGTAAATGTCGAATAATCTATCGATGTCAAAGTGCAACATGTGAGAACACAGTCTTACATGATGAAATTGTTATATTAAAATTGCATTGTGCAATGATTGATGAGTTAAATACCTACATAAAATTTGCATATGTGTAAACTATAAGAGCCCATGCTATAAATTAGAAGGAGTCGATTAACAAAACAGATGATTATAATGCACATTAGAGTACTACATAGCTGTCTACATTTGACACAAATAAATACAAAAACCTTTGGAGAGGATAAGAAGTAAGAAGTTTGGCTTCTAAACCTCCTCCAGAAAAACGATCAAACAATGTGGGCTACGTAGATTTATTACAAACAGCCTGTATAGGGATTGTGCAGTAGCCACTAATGCCCTACGGCTATTATGGGCAGCTAGCTAGCAGTCAATATTGGTCATTTGGCATAATGTGATGATCGATCATATATTTATCCACACAATTAAGTTATTATAGTTATTGATTTTGTAAGGTGATCTCATAGTCAAAGCTGCTAGATAGCTACTGTTGGGCATATGACTCAGGTCTAACCGCGCGAAGAAGTCGAGGCCCGCGCGATGTGAGATCCTAAGCGCGCCCAAGCTACTGCGCACGGACAGGGACGCCAAACACCAAACGACGACGTCTAAAGTCGAGGGTTAACCAGACCAGGAAACTATGGGAAAAGTGACACTGCGATTCCCGAGGAGCGGTCACATCACGATCCTAGATAAGTCCACTTTGTCCTAAGTAGAGGCCTACATCCCCTGGCATGTCAGTGGTCATGTCACCTTACCACCATGTAACCACCATGCAACCCACCCACCACCATGTAGCCTATAAATACGGCATTTACTACGGTGGGTAAGGGAATCGCATTTTGGGGACTCTATCTCTACAATTATCAACTTCTCTCTCTAAGACATTATACTCTCAATCTCATTCTCCTGGACCTTCGTTCTCGATCCAATAGTTGATTCTCGTTGCTTGCTCTTCTTAACCCCCCTTTCTCCCCCGAGTCTCACTCCTACACCCAGTTAGGCTCAAACAATTGGCGCCCATCGTGGGGCCAAGTAGAGAAGCAGTAGCAAATCAACCAATGGCAGAACACAATCCCAACTCGCCTGACGAGGCGACGCCCATCAAAGCGATGACCAACTCGAGGGTGTTCGCGGAAACCAGCAGCCTCAACGCGGTGCTCATCGAAGAAGAGGAGCCCGAGCTGACGACCAAGGAAATGAGGCAACTAATGGCGAAACAAAACGACGTCATTGCCGACATGCAAAAACAAATGAGCCAATTCATAGCGCCCATGATGAGAAAAGAAGCCGCGACGACGTCAGACGTGACACCGATCGCGCCCCAACAAGGGCCAGGAGAAACTTCAGGGACAGCTCCGCTACCACAGCTAGCGGCAATCGAGGCGCTCGCGTATGAGGCGCAACACGCTGAACCACCAGGCAGGGCGGACCTCAGCTTCTTGGAGCAACATCTCTCACCACAGGACCGCCCCAACCCACCCAGAAAGGCCCTTCACCAACCACTAAGCGTCGAAATTATGGCGGAGCACCTAAGCGGAATGCCACCCGCCCTCCCAACTTACAACGGAACAACCGATCCGGAGGACCACGTGAGCACCTTCTGCCTGTGGATGCAACTCCAAACCAACTCCAACGCGGCACTATCCAGAACCTTCCCATCAACATTCTCCGGAATATGCCTTGATTGGTATAACAGACTCCCGAACGGAATCATCCGCTCGTTCGAGGAGTTCATACTATTGTTCACAACGAAGTTCGCATCCCACAAAAGAAGGCCTCTCCACCTCAAGGCGCTGATAGATATTCAGGCAAAAAGACGGAGAAAGCCTGCGAGCATTCTACGCCAGATGGTCCAGAGTGGCAATGGCAGTGCGCGATCTTACCCCCGAAACCGCCGTCCATCACCTTATGGAAGCCACCACCAACATGGAACTCAAGCGGGCATTAGCAAAAAGACCTGTCACGTTGTCAACAGAGTTGGAGATGAAAATCGAGAAAGCCATTACACTGGAGGAAACCCTCGGAGCGGGCTCTGTCAGGCGCTTCGAACCCGCAAAACTGGCCCGAGAAGATCAGGGGCGGAGGCAGCTCCCGGTGCCGCGAGATCAGTTGGTGCAACTGCACAGCGGACCAAAACGCCACCCCCCTCCCCCACAAGAGCAAGCTCAGCGGGGACGATCACCAGATAGGCGCGCATCAAACGCCTACACACCGCTCAACGACTCCGTGAAAATCGTGTTTCACGTTCTCCGCGAGAAAGGTTACAAAATCAATTGGCCCGCGCCCTTGAAGTCCTTACCGCACATGTGCGATCCAAAAAAA